AGGGTCAGGTCGGAAAAGAGCCAGTGGCGGTCAAACCAAAGCATGGCTTCATCAGTCAATGAAATCCACAACAGTTAGTTTGAGTCACGTAGGAAGGTGCAGACTTCCTGACTGGTCGGGGTCCTCGGGACGGTAAAAACCAATGGTTGGAAACCATTGGTGACATGGCTGAAAATCGTTCTCAGTGGCGCAGATGCATCCATTCCTTATGACTTATGATTTCCAATGAAACTGTTTTGTTCTTCGTTATTACTATTCCTTTGTCTGACACCTGTGTTTACTGTCTTTCTATTATGCATTTCTTGTACTTTCTTCTGTTGGTTTGTGTGATACAAGGAGGGAGTGTGGCGACTTTAACTGGTGCACATTTGTGCAAAGTTCTATGTCGAATACAGACAGACAGATATATATGTATGTTATAACCTGGCTTTTTTTGTGATTAGCCTGGTTGATGCCCTTTCATTGAGATAATTTTATATCTTCTTGGATGATCTGTTAACAGCATAAAAAAATACTGACATGGGTCAAGGGAACCACTGGATTGTATCCCAGTGGCTTAATGTTCTACAATCTCGCTCGTCTTGTAACCAGAAGGTCCTGGGTTCGAACCCCAAGCGGTGGATGTGTACTTCTGAAGAGTCCGACACTAGGATGGAGGAAACAGCTGTCTAGTACTCTCAGCTGGTGTTCCAATTATTCTCTAACCGATATCAGCTCATGATGAGATCTTCGAACCAATTAAAAAAATGCCCACAAGCCAATACTGGAAAATTCAGATTAAGTATTTTGAATTTTTTTAATGTTTATAACGACAGAAAATCTTGTTGTTGTTTTTTTTGTTTTCTCTGGTACTACGCATATTTCAACCTCATTGTTATCGTGTTATAATATTCTGTGAAGTGTTGTTTCGCTTAATGATTGCGTGTTTTCTGTTGTTGTTGTTGTCGTTCTTGTTCTTGATATTACTCCAGTTGAAGCGATGATTACTGCTAATTTAGGCTATTCAAGCTTTATTTATCCTTTTAAACTTGACTAATTACTGTGATTAATTAATCAGGACGTATGTAGGAAAATGTGAAAATAAAATTATTGTTGATAATAGTCATAATAATAATAATGACGACATACCTGACAAGGATGCACGGAACTATTGCGACACCAGCAGTAAGGAATTTAAATCCTTAGTAGTAAATAGTACTTCCATACACAAAGGAGGAACCTTAGCAACCTTACGTGGAACTCTTAACAATACAGGAATAAAATTGGTGATTGGCAGTCAAACTGCTCGACAAACTGACTTAGAAACAAACAAACTTTGACGGTTAAACGATACCATGGTGCCCTTCAATGACTAATCAGACTAGTGGAGGGGCACAAAAGCCTAGGAAAATCTAGATTAGTTGACCCGAATAAGATAAGAAATCTGGTGATTCGTTCATCTCTATAGGACTCTGTATGCAGTTATACACAACCATAGAATAGGACAGGATAAGACGACAGCTGTAAAGTCTAATATAAGAGGTTAGAGGGAGAAATTGATAGATAACGGGAGCTGTATATTTCTTTGAATCCACTGGAAATACGTGTGAAAGAAATGATTCAACACCTGTCTGTCCACTCACCTGAACATCTGGAAAATTCTACTACCCGTATGACGAATAAAGTCCGTAGTAATAAAGAAAACTATAAAAGAGAAGTTTCGAAGTTGTTTAGTTCTTTATTGGTATGATATGATTATCAGCAATAATAAATCGTGTTCGAAACTTTATCATCGCCCAGTAAATAATAACAATGAACAAATTAATATGGGATTTCTCAATTGTTTGTTGTCACTCCTCTCTGCCTGTCTGTCTATCTGTGTGTGTGTGTATGCATTTGTCCAGAAATAGAAAGTATAAGGTTGCTTTCCTTAAGTCTAAATCGTTTTTTAAAAAGTCTGCGTGTCCTTACAGACGTGTTTTTTTTTAACCAATTCTTCAATATTCAATGCCTAATTTTCAACTAAGTTACATATTATATATGTATATGTACGTGTGTTTCGTCCTATTTGGGACTCTTCAGCAGGATATTTATTTGCATTTCTAATAAGTAATGATAGTGTCCCCACTGAGAGTCGAACCCCCAGCAGGTGGTAAATCCAGATGACGAGTTCCACGTGGGATGAGATATTCATCTTCGATCCCCCTGTTAGACAGCCAAAATTAAAATGAGAAGTTGAGCTAACTCCATGATTACCTATTGGATCCCATCTCTCTTCCACGTCACCCCTGGATGTCTCACGCCCAACTCCTTGTTTCTCACTCGGGTTCCACTCGAGTGATGGCTTGGTCTCCGCAGAGTGTGTCCTTCGATCCATCTCCTCCGAAATATTTGTTGAATAAAAGCTTCTTGGTTGGTTCGCAACCAGCCAGAGTTTAACTTCATTCTGGATAGGATTTTATTTTGATAAATTACACAGTATTGTACAGTAATAGTAACTGATGACCACGTTTCGAGAGCGAATTATTGCTCAGGACCATATCAAGCATGGCTTCATCAGTCAATGAAATCCACAACAGTTAGTTTGAGTCACGTAGGAAGGTGCAGACTTCCTGACTGGTCGGGGTCCTCGGGACGGTAAAAACCAATGGTGTGAAACCATTGGTGACATGGCTGAAAGTCGTTCTCAGTGGCGCAGATGCATCCACTCCTTATGACTTATGATTTCCAATGAAACTGTTTTGTTCTTCGTTATTACTATTCCTTTGTCTGACACCTGTGTTTACTGTCTTTCTATTATGCATTTCTTGTACTTTCTTCTGTTGGTTTGTGTGGTACAAGAAGGGAGTGTGGCAACTTAAACTGGTGCACATTTTTGCAAATTTCTATATCGAAAACAGACAGACAGACAGTATTAGCTGTCATCAAAATTTGACTTGGAACTTACAAATATTGGTCTACCTATGTTAAGCACTTTAAACAGAGTGCGTATGCGTGTGTGTGTAAGCAGTTGTAAAACACTTCTTAACGTCTCCATAAGAAGAATTAGACGGTCGGGAATTTTGACCAAGTATTATTAATTAGTGATACATATCCATTTTTATTTATTAATCAGGATTTCCTATGCATGTTTGTTCAAACTGTTTGTATCTAGAATTTTATGATTAGACGTATATTTTCAAAATTATGGTGCTTAGGATTAGAGTTTAGTTGAAGCACCCTGTCGAACTTATTGCTTTGTCTTCTTTCTGAAGATTATTTAGCTGTTTTATTCGACCTACTGGAGTTGTCAGGTGACTTGACAGCTACGCATTTAGGATATGCATTCTGTTACAGAACTATTCTGTCAAATCTTGACGACAGTTCATTTAAAATTATTTTGCAATCGAATTAAATTAACAAAGCAACTATGTGATTGGCACAATCATCGTGTTTTCACTCTCTGTTGTCTGCTTCCGTTTGATGGCATCATGTAGTGCAATGCGGTGCTGAGCTTTTCTTCTAAATTACTCATCTTCTCAGGCTCAGCTATTCTAATCTAAGCTAAATTCTTATGTTTCGACAATCTGACTACTCCCGACCTAGAAGTTTGACCTAGATAGTTGACCTCATAGTCATAGTAAGGTATTTTGTAAATTATATTATTTTGTTTAATTGAGTCCAGCGGGTCTTTTAGCCTACAGAGCTTATCCTACTTGATTGAGTTTGTAGGTTCGAATGCCACCACCCTAATTCCTGTTTTATTACGAATCCTACGTAGGGTCTCGGATGTCCCCTCCTTATATAGTATAACAGTAGATGACTTATATCCTTTTTCTTATATTATTGTGCGGCTCATCTTCTTGATGCTTATATTATACCAGGTTTTGTGCCTTGAATATATATTAAATATCTGTGATAGCATATAAATTGATGGTGACTTAAACTAAAATTTTAAATAATTATATTTGGGATGCGTTCATCTTATCATGCTTCCTCTGTTACTCTTGAAACAGTGAAGCGCGAAATATCATCATTTATAACCCATGTAATTTCAGGTAGTTTTGCAGCAGCAGCTGATGAGAACCTGTGAAATCTGCTCTTCCTTTCTCTATCGAAATTTACCAAGTGAACCAACGTATGAAATATCTGTGATGTTGTGTCAGTGGTCCAATAGTAGACTGCTTGCAAACCGACCATTTAGGAGGCTCGGGGCTCGATTCCTAGCAGACAATGCCCACCTCTTAAACCTAGCTGCCCCCAGTATAACGGTCAGGCTAAGCCTCGAAAGGAAGGAAGGAAGGGAGGTTCAGTATAAGGCTAGGATCCGCTCCCCCCTCCCCTACCTTGTGCATAAAGACAGCACCATCACTAGTACAGAACTTCAGTGCATAAAGTTTGAAGCCCCATGATTTACTCTCCTCTGAACGTGAAGGAATGGAGATAACCGCTCGCACACACACACACGCATATACACTGAGTAACCAACCGCGAGGTATTTTTTTTTGGCGTTGAATATTTGTGTATCTTGAATCCAGATGTGACTGTAATATTAATATTTCAGGATTTCATCATGAGCTGACATTAGTTAGAGAACCATTAGAAAACCTGGGAGTAGTGGACAGCTGTTTCGTCCTAGTTTGGGACTCTTCATCGGTACACACCCACCAAGATTCGAACCCAGGACCTTCCGGTTACAAGGCGAGCTCGTATATCATTAAGCCACTGGGACCCGATTCAATGGTCCTTGAATTCTAACTTCTGCCAATTCATGACATACTGCGACCGCTAACCAATGTCTTCGGCGAGTATTTGTCCTCACACCCGACCAGCTGCACCCTACTGGTTACGACTTCGCACTGGAACCCAGGTAACTACTCACCTGAATAGGGCCAGTCGCCAGTGAGCATCTCATTGGTATTCAGGTGTTTGTTATTTCTAATGTATCCGCTGTACAGTTTACAGAGTCTTGTATGCTTTTTAATATGCATTTTTAAACAAACAGCTTTTACACACACTCTCTCTGTTCCTAATTTTACTAGGTACTCATGTTATGGAAGGATCAGGTAAAATGGTTGTCACTGCTGTTGGACCAAATTCTCAAGCTGGTATCATTTTTGCTCTGTTATCCTCTGGAGCTGGACATGATGACGCTGTTACAGGTACTGATGGTGGTCAAGAGAATAAAAAAGACGCGAAAAGTGAGTATTATCCCCCCTTACCCCTTTATTGTTTGCTTTAACTTCAAAATATTCAAATCCATTAACCATTTTGCTTTTAGATGTTATTTCAAAATTCTTGATCAATGATCTCATATTATTATCATTGTTATTATTAATGTTCCCTTGGGTTCTTAGTGGAACATGGGGCTTCAACTCCACATCTTCACTTGCTTCTGTCTTCCTTCTACTGTGCTTTTCACCTGCATCCGTCCATGTTAGTCCATACTCGTTCAACTCCTCTTCACACGATCTCCTCCATGTTACCCTTGCACTGACGTCCCGCTCGCCGGTTCCCTTTCGGCCTGGTTCCACTCGAGCGATGGCCTGACGCGCGCGTGATGTCACTCAGTGGCGGCCTCCTCAGTGGGCGAGTGTCCGATCCATCTCCACTTTTTCCTGCATATTTGTTGGTTGGCGATTGATTTGTCCTTATTTTGCTTGTTCTCAGCCATAGTTTCCTGTTGGTGATTCTTTCCGGCCCTGTCATCTGATCTTCAGTATAGATCCAGCGAAGACAGTTGTTGATAAAGGATCTCATATGAAGTTGACTTTAATTAAAGCTTGGATCTGGAGTTTCTTCTGGGTTTTGGTAGGGACGGGAGGGGTGTGGAGTGTAAGGACTGAATGTCGATGGCATTGACTGTCTGAGTGATTTCAAAACTGGACTTTCCACAGAAGTGGAGCAGTTCAACTTGCCACACTTCGTTCCGTGTGGTACACAAATCAAGAGAAGAGAATAAAGATAGATTGAAAAGAGAGATGATAAATAGAAGTGTGAGGGAAAAAGAACAGTAATAGGGAAGAATAATAATAGAGTTTTATTGGATACGACAAATAAATGACACAGAGTGAATGCATCTGTGCCGCCGAGAATGATTTTGAGGTACATATCACCACTTACTTGTCTCCAGCCAATGATCCTTACCATCCAGAGGAACCCAACTAGGAAGCGGGTCTACACCCGTCTAAGTGGCCGGCTTACACGAACTGTTATAAATTTCATTGACCGATGGAGCTATGTTTCGGTTTGGCCAGCACTACTAGCTCTTTTCCAACCTGACCCTATGTCAGCTAACATCACCCATCGGGAAGGTGATGGCTAAGAGCACATAATACATGTTCTAGTCATAGCAATCGGTGTAACTACATAGTCTCATCGATCGACGCCTAACCTCAATATTACTCAACTTATTATACCATCTAACATAGGAGATAGAAAGCCAGAAACCTATGATCGAAGACAGCTAGTCACCCTTTTTTCATGTCCTCCGCTTTTCATATCCGTGTCTCACATGGAGGAGCAGAGAGTGAACTGTTGATCAACGCACACATTCTTCCATCGGTAGCCATTCGGATATGACGTCTACTATGCCAGAGATGGAGTGCTACTACACAAGCCTTTTGTAAGTATGCTGAGATTTATTCAGCAGTGATCAACCCTCTCGACTGGCTGATGCGACTTCTTAAATAAGTGAAGTATGTGGCCAACTTGTTCTACCACTTCGGACACATATTCACAAACACATATACATACACACACACCTTATCTCCGTCTGAATTATAAAGCATCACGTTTCTTTGCTGGCTTCAGTCTATTTTTTGTTTTTACGAGTTGATCACGGATTGATATCAGCTGGAGAGAAACATTGAAAACCAACAATGGAGTACTGGACAGCTGTTTCTTCCGTCCTAGTTTGGGAATCATTGGCACTATGCACCCGCCTGCCAGGGTTCGAACCCAGGACCTTCCGGTCACGAAGTAAGAAAGCTCGTATACCATTCAACCACTGGGACCCGACCCAATTCAGTGGCCAGTCCATGAATTCTAACTTCTATCTATTCGTGATTTAGCGCGACCCCGACCACTGTCGTAGGTGAGACATCCATCCATCCATCCTCACGCGTGACATCTGGATAGACCTCATCGGTCACGACTTCTCACTAGAACTCACTATAAGAAATTCCATCCTGTAGCAAGTCAGTCACTAGTGAGCATCAGATTAATTTTCTATAGTTTGGTTTGTAAGGGTTAGTTTTGTTTTTACGAGTTGTATTTTGATGACATTTTTTTAGTCTATGATACTATGATTACATACGGATATTGTCTGTTTGCCTTCCGGCTTTATTGCCGCATCTTTTTTTTCGGTTTTTTTTGGTTTTGAGGTGTGTAAATATATGTGAGATGTATGGAGGTTGAAGAAACTCAACCATCTAACAACTACTCAGCAAACCTAGAGAGAGATAGTCTATAGTGTCTGTGTGTATGTGGGATAAAAAGGTGTCTGTTCATTCTGTCGTAAATCAGCTGAAATCGGAGGTTTTCAGTTTGTCTATGTCAAATATTTACCTAAAATAAGCGAGAGATATAGAATTCTGGGAGCGTTTCACCCTCCTCCTTTTATTCTCTCCTCCTCATCCTCATCCTCCGCCGCCTCCCTGCGTAATATGCTTGTGTACACGGGAAAATAGTGAAAACTTTGGTAATATGAAGGCAAAAGGGGACTGTACTTTGTCTAAAATAGGATTATTATTGTCGGCGAAAACAGCAACAGTTGACGCTTACTGTCTCACATCTCAACACCATCCAGGCTGTTCGAGATGATCTGAGTGACTTCAATATTGGTGTTTACACAGAAGTTCAACATTTTCAACTTCCAATACATACCCAATGTACCATACAATGGAAGACAAGAGAGCGAGAAAGAGGATATGTAGAAAGACAATAAACGGAGATATGTAAGATGGAGAAAGAATAATGATGTGGGAAAATAATTGTCTCCCTCCAGCAATTGGTTCTTAGCATTTTGAGGATGCCAACAAAAGAAACCAATCCAAACTTTCTTAAGTGACTAGCTCAAGCTAACTGAAAAATTATTTCATGAACTGATTCCGTGTTTCTGTTTGACCGCATCACCACCACTGCCTATTTTCCAATCTCATCCGTCCTATGTCAGGTAACATTGTCCATAGATGAAGTCTGTATCTCTGTCTGTCTGTTTTCGATATAGAACTTTGTACCGATGTGCATCAGTTCAAGTCGCCACACTCCCTCCTTGTATCACACAAAGCAACAGAAGAAAGTACAAGAAATGCATAATAGAAAGACAGTAAACACAGGTGTCAGACAAAGGAATAGTAATAACGAAGAACAAAACAGTTTCATTGGAAATCATAAGTCATAAGGAGTGGATGCATCTGAGCCAGCCAGCCAGCCATTGAGAACGATCACTTTGAGCCGGCTATATCATCAATTGTTTCCAGTCTTCATTGGTTTTTACCGTCCCGAGGAGCCCGACCAGTCAGGAAGTCTACACCTTCCTACGTGACTGGCTGGCTTAAACTATCTGTTGTGGATTTCATTGACTGGTGACATGTTTTGGTTTGATCGCCGCTAGCTCTTTTCCAGCCTGACCTGATATCCGCTAACATTGCTCGTCGGGGAAGGCGACGGCCAGGCATACGTAACACATGTGCTAACCATCTCAGTCGATGTAATTTCACAGCCCCGTTTATTGATTTCCCCTCCCGCTTACCTAGCACACGACCGAAGCCTAACCTCAATATTTCTCACCTTATTATGCCACTTCATACGGGAGACAGAACGCAGGCACCTATGATCGAAGTCAGCTAATCTTTTCATGTCTTCCATTCTCAATGACTAGGTCTCACAGCCAGCCGTAAAGGAGGACGGAGCAGACTGATGAGCAGTACACCCGCCCCTTGGTCTACAGCCAGCCGGATATCATGTCTGCTAAGCCAGAGACGGCGTTAACTGGCATATGCGAAACTAGCCCTCTGTATCGGTGCTGAGATTTCGTCAGAGATCAACCCGTTGGGGCTGATGTGACCTTTTAAATAATCGAAGTGGTCAACACTCTCTGCCTCTTCAATCCTGCTCATCTCTAAGCTAGAAGTAGTTGATGTAGTCCAGTCGTATATAGTAAGTATCACCTCACATATGACAGGAGTTATATCTCATGCGGAATATTTACTTCTGTGTGATAAGCTTAGTTTTTCTGTGAAACATTTAGAGATTGTGTAGACTGTATTCTGTCCACCACCACTGTCATTTCTTTGTCCAACCAAATCCCATGTCAGCTTAGATTGTTTGACATGAAAGCGGTAAAAGCAAAGAACAGACACCACTGTCAAATGACTTTGAATCAACCAATCAGATCGCTCAGCATTACAAATGGATACTTTTTATAATCTTCGTTGGAAGTTTCACTGTAAGCTTAATCATTATCCTACCCTTACTATAACGAATATTATGAAAAGTATCCATTTTTAACGTTGGACTATCTGATTGGTTGGTTCAGGGTCATTTGACCTTGGCATCTGTTCTTTACTGTTGCTGTGATAGCTGATGGCTTTTGATGTAGCTGTGTTCTCTCAGTTGATGAGTGGTTTATTTGCTAAGCTTTCATTCCCCACCACCCCCATACCCACTTGCAGGGCAACATCTTCAGTGCATACTTCAATTTGAATTGAAGTGACCTGTTTTATATTTCTCCACGAGTTTATTAGTCATCACGCAGCTCTATGTCAACCAAAAGACTCAACAGCGAAGGAAGATAAAACCAACATCATCTACAAAATAAATTGTAGCAACTGCGAAAAAAACTATATTGGCCAAAGTGGACTACGTCCCTTTCGTCTTTGTATCCATGATCATAAGCTAGCGGTCAAAAGACATGACATTCACTCTCTCACCTTCATATCGCTGCATACAGACAACCACGGACATCAATTCGACTGGGATGACCAACAGTCAAATATTAGGAAGAGGAAACACCGAGAATGGTAGAGAATTTTTAGAAGGCTGTCTGGTGGTGGTATTTCAGTGAATCATCAATCAATGGACACATCGACATAGACAAAATTTATCAACCGATAAGAAAGAAACCTCACACACACACACAAAGGGTCAAAGTTCAAGTCAAGGAAATCCTGTAACCAATCAATCAAATCCCTACAAACCAATACTTGAACATAAATGAGATGCTCACTAGCGACTGGCCCTATTCAGGTAGGTAGTTACCTGGGGTTCTAGTGGGAAGTCGGGACCAGTAGGGTACAGCAGGTCGATTGTGAGGACAAATAATCGCCGAAGACATTGGTTTGGGTCCCAGTGGCTCAATGGTCTACGAGCTAGCTCGCTCGCCTTGTAACCAGAAGGTCCTGGGTTCGAACAGTGGCAGTGTGTGGGTACTGATGAAGCGTCGCAAGCTAGGACGAAACAGCTGTCCAGTATTCTCAGGTTTTCCAATGGTTCTCCAACTAATGTCAGCTCATGATGAAATCCTGTAACCAATCAACCAAATCCCTAAAAACCAAAACTTGAATATGAGGTCAAGGAAACAATCAATATCAGGGCACATGTAACCTAGAAGGTGTGAAAACACACAAAAATGACCAATCACATCCAAGGTCACCAGGATGGTTAGTAAACTTATGGAAAAATCTAAAACAGCTCACTTCAATTCAAATTGAAGTATGCGCTGGGTGTGTTGCCTAGCAGGGCGGGGGGCGATGAAAACTTCGCAAATTAACTCTCCATCTCAGAGAACCCGACCACATCAAAATCATCCATCTGGCATGCAGTATGAATCGATACAGCTTAACGAACTCATAGATGGAACTACAGAAATTCTGAAAATTTTTAAGCTTTCTGAACAGTTGTTTCCTTCTCATTTTCTAGTCCTCATGAGTACGGTGTCTGTCTCTCTCTGTGTTTATCTTTCTCTCTCTCTCTCACACACACACACACACACACAAACACACACAAAAAACAAACCCTATCACCTTTTGACGATCCAGTTTCTGATGGCTGATTATATTACTTGAGCATAAAATTGATCTTTAAGTCAATAATTGTCAATCGAATCTTTCTTTGTTGAAAATTGGAAATGCTGACCAGTTTGATATGCACGAGATTGTCGATTATTGGCTGCAAATTAGGGTGAAATGGAAAAAAATACTTAGATCAGAAATCAATATCCACGTCTTAACAGAATGTGGAAGATAAGGAGAAGACGATAAGCCTCCAAAGCCTCAGGATGGTCGGGGGTGGGTGCCTTGCGCTGTGGGTTGGCCACCCCTCCGTACACCTCTTGAAATGCTCACATATGATCGGGCGTCTTACATAGCCTCTCCTGACGAAGTCCTACTCACTGTCATCACGTGGCGGAGGTGTTTTTCACCGGAGTGAGAGGGCGAAAGTGGATGCCCGGCGCTCTTCACCGGGTTGACTGTCCATCGGATGACAGTCTAGGGGAGATGGCTAAACCCTGATTCCAAACCTTCAACGACTGGCGTATGAAGCTCACCGGAGCTCACCGGGAGACGTATGGACAAAGGGCTTATTGGATGCCCTGGATGTCTGGCCCCATTCAAAAAGGCGCATGAACCGGACTCCGGTCACCGGCTTCCAATGGGTAGTGGACTCCCTACTCCACCCCTACTGCTTTGTAGGTCACACTTGGTTGTGTAAAGGCTAGAGCTGCACTCTCAAACAAAAGGTCGAGCGATGCTGGGGACATCACTCGTACCAAATTCCCATGAAACTTCATGAACTCTGTTCATGAAGCCGGCTCATCCTCCTGTAGGAGATAGCCGAAGTAAAGTGAAAGTAAGTAAGAAGACGATAAGTCTTCTTTGCTCTTTCTTTTTGCAGGGTTCGATTATTAGCCTCACGCCAAACTTTTAACTCTTCTACAACTTCACTGTCACTTATAAAAAATTGGCAAGGTTTATAGTTGGAAGTGTTTCGGTTGGGAATTGAACGAAACTGGTATTTTCAGCTTAACTGTTTGTTTGAGTTGTCTACACTCGGCGGTTTTATCCTCACAAGCAGTTGTTCAATCTCACTTATATATACATAAAAAGACTTGTGTGGTACTTGTCAACTTAAATCATCTCTAGCGTAGAAATGATATCCGATTGATTACCAATCAAAAAGGGCGTGCATGTAATGCCCCCCCCCCCACAGTTCACTCCGTCCTGCTTCATGGCTGTGAGATATAACCACTGGAAGCGGAAGATATGAAGAGGCTATCTGTCTTTCTTTGATCATAGGTGTCAGCACTTTGTCTTCCGTGTTATGTGGTATAATAAGTTCCTTGTTGAAATGAATCAGTCAGTCGTTTATACATGTGTTTTCATCGATACAATTATTATTTAACTGCAAATAAAAATGAAGCAGATTAAAGAGGGTAATAATTTTCAACTTGATATGAATTTTCGTTATTTTCAGTAAATAAAAATTACAATGGGCTTGAAAACAAAATTATGTAGGATTAGAAATTAGTTGCGTAATACGTGTAAACTAGTTCCTAACACGGACATTTGTATATGGGATGAACATGAGCACACTTGTCTTCATTAGAAACTATTTTACATATTACGCAACTATTTTCTAATCCTGTGAGCACTATTGAGTTGGTTAGGCGTCGAGTGGGTGGGTAAGGAAGGGAAATCAATGGGCGAGGTTGTGAAGTTAGTTACATCGATTGAGATTGTTGAGACATGTGTTACACAGTCATGCCCATCCACCGTCTTCCTCAGCAGCGGGAAATGTTAGCTTAAATAGGGTCTAGTTGGAAAAGAACCAATGGTAGTCAAAACGAAAACACGACTTCATCAGTCAATTAAATCCACAACACTTAGTTTAAGCCAGCCAGCGATGTAGGGAGGTGGAGGCTGACTGGCTGACTAGATGGGGTTCTCAGGACGGTAAACACCTTTGAAGGCTGGAGACAATTGGTGATATGGCTCACACAATCATCGTTGTGAATGGCTGACACAGATGCATCCACTCCTTGTGACTTATAATATCCAATAAAATTATTTATTTTTTATTTATTTTTATTTTTATTTATTTATTTTTGATTACAGCTTGATTCCACACCGTATTTTTGGTACAAGTATGGAATTTTCAGCGTGGATATCGGTAGCCCAAAATTCGCAGGCCGACCATAGATATCAAGTGTGCGTCGGCGTGGGCTCGAACCCCGCACCATGTGCATGGTCGGCGAGAGTCCCAACCACTGTGCCACCGACGCACTTCTTCTTCCATATTACTATTCTTTGCTGTCTTTATTTTATGTTTCTTTTTACTTCCTTCTCTTGGTTTGTGGGCTAAATGGAGTGAACTTTAGTGAATCGAACTACTGCACATCGGTGCAAAGTTCTACGTTGAAACCAGTCGTTCAGTCTTCAGCTATTAGTCCTGTTATGAACGATGATCTCATTGGTGTTTATTTTATCTATTAGTATATTTGATTATTTAATTGAAAATATGTGTTGTAAGACATAATTCTATGAGTTCCACTAACTTACTTAAACATCGCAGTAGAGAGTAGTTGTTGCATAGTTTTTTTTTCCCACTAGTTTCGGACCAATTGAATTGTGTCTATTATTGCTGTGACATCATCAAAGTACATCACATGATTTAGGTAGAAATAGTTCTTTTATTTGAATGACTTTAATATCAAGCCAACTAACTGTACAGTTGTATTTCTATTACGAGTTTGACGACGGATTGATATCAGTTAGAGAATTACTGAAAACTGGAAGACGGAGTACTTGGCAGCTTTGCCATCCTAGTTTAGGAATCATCGGCACTACGCATACACCACCAGGTTTCGAACCTCAGGACATTCAGCTTACGAAGTAAGAAAGCTCGTATACCATTCAGCCACTGAGACCTACCTATCCAATGGCCAGCCTATGGATTGTAACTTCTAACAATTCGTGATTTAGCGTTTCTGAAGAGTAGATATGCACACACACACATAGATGAACATGATCATCTTATGAACTGGAATGTTCAACAATCAAGACTATTGAAGCCTGAGCTGAGTACACTGCTAATGAGCTTGGCCCCGTGAATAAGCAAAATGGCTATCGGGTGTTTTTGAGTTCGCTTCAATCTGGCTGGGAAACTGCGACAACTGATTTATATGAATGGTGTGCAAAACTACTCATCTGAATCAATCAGTAGTATATACATACATATATTAATTAATTAATTTGTTTTACTCTTTCTTTTGTAATACACAAAACATTTTAGAAAAGAATAAGAAAAATGCTAAAGCTGATAAGAATGTCTCCAATTCAGATGCTTATCAAATGAAGTCAAAGGCAGCAGCAGGCAATCAAAACGATGCTGAAGCGACGAATAAACAGAAACCGAAGAAAAAACCACGTCGTAAAGAACAATCTGTTCTACAGGCGAAATTAACTAAACTTGCTATACAAATTGGATATGTTGGTAAGCGTTAGTTTGTTTTTCCGTTTATCTGTTTGCGTTTAACCCCCCTCCCCCACCCCCCTTGGGTGTATCATGCTTTTCCTGGAATAATTCCCCTCCCCCCCACAGAGAACCTTCTCTTCCTAGTTATGGAGTACTGTTTCATTGTTGCATGTGAAGCTCATCAACAGTACACTCTACACTTCCTGCATTCTCTTTTTTTTTTCTGTTAAGAAAGGAAAGTTTGATTAAAATTCAATGAAATTCGAGAATTTTTAGATGTTTTATTTTCATTGTTAGCTTGAAAGATGAAACTTTCTCTTTCGTTGATTTAATTATCCCAGAATATATATGCATATATATACATCTCATATTATTCCCTTGTGTTCTGAGTGGAACATAAGACGTCAATAGCAAACCTCCACTTTGTCCTTTTCACTTTACTCCTTTTTAGCTGCCTGCACAATTTCCTATAAGCGCTGTTATCTCCTACTCTTGCGATCTCCTTCATGTCAGCCTTTAGACCAACTCAGAAATTGTTGTTTCTTATTCAGATTCCAGTCAAGCAATGGCGTCACGCGTGATGTGCCATCCGACTACCTCCTCTGACTGTTTGTCCTATCCATCTCACTTTTTTGTTCAGTATATTTGTTGTTATTGTTGTTGTTGTTGTTGCATAGTAGATCCTTGATTGATTCATTGCCAGCCAGAGTTTGTTGTTTTCACGGAGGATTTAATCATGAGCTGACATAAGTTAGAGAACAACTGGAAAACCCACAGGGGGGAGTACTGGACACCTGTTTCCTCCATCCTAGCCTGGGACTCTTCATCAGTACGCACCCATCACAGGGGGTTCGAACCCAGGACCTTTTGGTTAGAAGGCTAGCGAGCTCGTAGACCATTGAGTCACTGAGACCGCCAATCCAATGGCCAGCCCATGAATTCTAACTCCTACCAATTCGTGATGCATTTAGCACAATTGGCACCAACCGATGTCATCGGTGGACACTCTATCCTCATTCCTGACTGGACAAACCTCACTGGTCATGATTTCTCACTAGAACTGCAGGTAAAATATAGGATCAGAGGTATGAATTAATGGATAACAATTGAGGTGATCATAAAAGTAATAATAATAATAATAATAACAAAGATAAATTCATTCAAGTGTTGATATGTGTCATCGAGAAAGGTAACTGTTTTAGGCTGGAGGAAAGGTCAAGAGAGTGACAGATATTGAACAAACGTTTACTGATCACAGGGATTGGATTGAAGATTTCCCTATGGCATTTGCGTCAGCTGACGCCTAGCAACCGAAGACATACCAACCTAGGTAGTTGAGGTTGCTACCTTGTACAAATTTGTATAAGTTGGATTTTCATCAGTCTTGTATTCACCTGTATCCACCACTGGGTGTGCCATTATGGAACTTTTGTGATTAACTTTGTGACTCCGCTACGTGTAACCACATTGGTCAGTGTTGTAGAAGGCGCAAGATGGGTTTGCATATGTGACTAATATTTTATCTTCTATAGTTTGGTTTGTAAGGGTTAGTTTTATTTCTATGAGTTGATCATGGATTGATATCAGTTAGAGAGAACTATTGAAAACCAGCACTGGAGTACTGGACAGCTGCTGTTTCATCCTAGTTTGGGGATCATCAGCACTACGCACCCACTCCACACGGTTCGAACCCAGGACCTTCCGGTCACGAAGCAAGCTCGTATACCATTCAGCCACAGGGACCCAATTCAATGGCTCGTGAATTCTAACTTCTACCAATTCGTGATTTAGCGTGACCCCAACCATTGTCGTCGGTTGGACATCTATCCTCACACGTGACATCTGGATGGACCTCACTGGACCTCATGACTTCTCACTAGAACTCACTACAGGAAACTCCATCCTGTAGGAAGTCAGTCACTAGTGAGCATCAGGTTATTTTTCTATAGTTTTGGTATATAAGGGTTAGTTTTTGTTTATATCAGTTAAATAAATTTAAAGCCTAATGAGTTAGTTATTCACCGATGTATCGTGTTCCTATAATTTTCTTATCAATTAAGCATATTATTTTGTGAATTCTTCTTGTTGTGTGGTTGTTGTTGTTGTTGCTGTTGTTATCTTCAACGTGCTTGTTCTCGTGTGTGTGTGTGTGTGTGTGTGCGTGCGTATGTGTATGCATTAAATTACTTTTGCTGTTTCCTCCCTATCTCTCTCTCTCTCTCTCCCTGTCTCTTCGAAAACCACTCGCAGATAATTGGTATTCTCTGTTTTGATGTGATTGTATTTCCATGTTGTTGTTGCTGTTTCTGCTGCTTCTCTCGTTTTGTTTTTCTCCTTGTGTTCTCCTGATGAAATCAACAACAAAATATCAAGAACAATCAAATGACGTCGTTTTAGGAAAAATAAAATGGGGAAAAAATATGTACATATACTACTGTTCCCACTATTGAATTCAATTATAGACTTTCCTGCTGATTATTGATTTCATGCAGGATTTCATCATGAGATGACATCAGTTAGGGAACCACTGGAAAACCAGCGCTGGAGTAGTACTGGACAGCTGTTTCCTCCGTCCTAGTTTGGGACAACTCTTCATCAGTACGCACACACCACAGAAGGTTTGAATCCAAGGCCTTCTGGTTAAAAGGCTAGCGATTTCGTAGACGATTGAGCCACTGGGACCCGATCCAGTGGTCAGCTCATGAATTCTTATATCTTCCAATTCATGCATGACATAGCGCGACCATTTCGAAATGCCTTTTTCGATGAGTTACTGCCTCACCTTCAACCTACCGTACCCTACTGGTCACCTCTGCCCACTAGAATCCCAGGTTAACTGTCTGAATAGGGCTAGTTGCTAGTGAGCCTCAGAATTATTTTCCGGTATGTCGTAAATTGGCAGAAAATAGAATTCATGGACTGGCCATTGGATCGGGTCCCAGTGGCTCAGTGGTATGTGGGCTCACCAGCCTTGTAACCAGAAGGTCCTGGGTTCGAACCTCCTGTGGTGGGTGCGTACTGCTAGGACGAAACAGCTGTCCAGTACTCCCATCTGGTTTTCCAGTGGTCTTAACTGATGTCAGCTGATGATGAAATCCTGTAACCAATCAACCAAATCTCTACGAAGTAGTACTTGAAGATTATTGATTTAACTGGTGTTAAAATTGAATTAAAAGTAGTAACTGATGCCTCCCCCCCATTGCACAAGAGGGGTGACCTAAGTTTTCTAATGGATAACACTTTTGTGTGTTTGAAACGATAGTTACTGATTTCGAGCCTCACTGCGGGAATACCATCACCTACTCCCACACCCACTCCCTCACTGAGGAATGCAGTTACACATTCAGATGATGGGTCTTAATGGGGGTGCGAAATACTCATTCCAGAAAACTCCACTGCTAGTAGTCAACATCAATCGAATTACTATTTCCACTGTTGTTATTATTATGGAAACAAGTGTAGTGAGAGAGTGAACAGACAGATTGGTGTTTTCTTTACACAATAGGGAACTACACAGGTGAGAACAGCGATAAGGCTGGGGAGTATTACAGTACAATTGATCAACAAAGCTTTCAATTAACCGAAACATATTGAGAATCAAGGTAGAACAATAAGTTGAATACCATCAATGGGAAGAAATTCAAAAGAAAAAGGAATCTGCTGTTTCTCTCACCAGCAGTAGTATCCTTTCATACATTTATTACCCTTTATAATTACGGATAAGGCAAGAACAACAGAGGTTTGTTGAGAATATGATGTTACCAACACATGGTTTATTTTGTGTTGGCCTCTCATCAGCTATGTATATAGCCAAAAGAAATTGTTTATTTAAGATTTCTAAGTTCAACAATCTGTTGAACAAATATGAGGCATAGCAGAAGTTTAGGAACCTGAAAATTCGTCAGGATGGCTAGATTGACAAGTCTTCTAAGACATACGTTAGCCATCCTAGACGAATTGTCACAAGTGATGGTTTGTAGGGATTTGATTGGTTTCAGGATTTCATCATGAGCTGACATTAGTTAGAGAACCATTGGAAAACCTGGGAGTAGTGGACAGCTGGTTCGTCCTAGTTTGGGACTCTTCAGCAGTACGCACCCACCAGGATTCGAACCCAGGATCCTGAAACCAATCAAATCCCTACAAACCATCACTTGAATACCAATGAGATGCTCACTGGCGACTGGCCCTATTCAGGTAGGTAGTTACCTGGGTTCCAGTGGGAAGTCGTGACCAGTAGGGTGCAGCTGGTCGGGTGTGAGGACAAATACTCGCCGAAGACATTGGTTAGCGGTCGCCCTATGTCATGAATTGGCAGAAGTTAGAATTCAAGGACCATTGAATCGGGTCCCAGTGGCTTAATGATATACGAGCTCGCCTTGTAACCAGAAGGTCCTGGGTTCGAATCTTGGTGGGTTCGTACTGCTGAAGAGTCCCAAACTAGGACGAAACAGCTGTCCACTACTCCCAGGTTTTCCAATGGTTCTCTAACTAATGTCAGCTCATGATGAAATCCTGAATTGTCACAAGTTTAGCTGATAGTTTCTAACTTTGTTGAATATGCCTCTACTGTGATTCAGCCATTATCTGCACAGTATTCGAATACAACCCAACCGATGAATGTCAACAGATTGGTGGAAGTATTAAGACAGTTCGACGGTTTTGCTGGTTATTTGAAAAATGTCAAGTAGTCAACAATATAGAGTGAACAGATTCTATAACTGTGTAGCAGCAGGTGGTTGCTAACACATCCAAACAAGAGTGAATCAGAGTGACAGTTGTTTCACGTATGTCATTAGCAGCAAATAAGACAATAAAAGCAGACCACTATACTAGTAGTCTCTTATAAACGCACAATTAGAGTCACACCTCCTCCTTTTACTTGTGTGCTAAGCTGTATTTATCATTCACCAAGTGATTACCCATGTCCATATTAGTTAGTCAGTTGTTAAGATGCCAATTGCAGCGAAGAAATTTTCATTTTGACGAAGTCATCATCAACTAGACTGTACATTCGT